AATGCGACATACAGCCAGAATCACGTTTCTGAGAGATGATAAACGCAAAGCTGTTTTGAACCCCACATACAAATCGGACCTTCCCAGGTTAATTCCCGGTTCGGAGGCTAGCGCGCACCATGTGCTGTGTACGCGCATGTGTGTGTAGTTGACCTCCGAGAAACTGTCTGCTTCCCGGGTCAAACGGCGCAAAGCAGCTGCGCAGAGACAAGGCCTTTATTTTGAATCGTGAAGAGACGATAAACGCGACATCCCGCAAATAACTTTCGTAGAGTGGGGTTCGATAGTGGGGTTTAATAGGGGGGTTCGATATGTACATATATAGTGGCAAGACCCGATAAACGCACCCAAATATGGTATACACATAAAACACATAAAATTCACACATAAAATTATGAGTAAATCGCATTTGAACAAGGGTCACTATACGAATTCCACCGAGTTTCCGTCCGAATATAACACGTATCGGCTATGACGTAATTTTTTCAGACTGCTTTTCGCTCCCTAAACGTTCTCCTTTTTTGCTTGAGAATTTGCAGTGACATTCCGAGTTGCAATACGCAGGGCACCTTGAAGCCGGATTTTTTAAAAAGGTCAAGGGGGGGTATTTAAGACGCCATTTTGTCCTATTAATCTTTTTTGCATCACGTGTTTCGATAGGATTATCATAGAAAAAAGAGAGTAGTTCACAATAACAACCATGAAATTTTCTTTCCAATGATACCAAAAAAAGCCTATGAAGAGACATAAAGAGAGAGATTTTTTTTAAGGTCGATCCGGTCATAATACATATCCTGTACATTTTCCGCCCATGCATTACACGCATAGTCTATAGGGCAAATCGGGTTCACACTTTTGGCCCCCAGAACGATCTTTTTTTTCCTTGAAATGGTTTTTATAATTTGTCAAGGGGGCATTTTAGACACCATATTATACTGTTTATGGTTATGTTAGTATAGACGACCGTTAGTGCCACATCACCCGTCATTGCACGCATATCGTTGTGACACGATTGCAGGTCTAGTTGGTATTTTCTGAGTAACATGATGTCTTATCATCAGAAACAAAAAATCAAACAAAGATACAAACTTTACGAAAATATATGAAAACATTCCGATCATAAATTTTGTCCGGAATTTCCTGTAGTGTCCGTAACAGTGTCATTCCTGCTATATGAAAATGTTTTCAAAGTTCTTATATACTTTGCTTTGTGTAACTACCCCCCGGGGACTAGCTGTGGTATAATAATATTCGGCTAAGCATAACAGTTGTGTGTTGTTTTTTTTGCAATTTAATGAATGGAATTTGTAGTGTCCGTAACACAAGTGTGAGGTGGTGTAAAAATACAGCTTGATAGCTAAATACTACTAATTTTCGATTCACATTTTGATTTGACACAGGTGCTCTTCTCAGTGAATAAAAAAATTCTCTTTCCCTGAAAGGTTTTCTCCTGGATATGATATTTCGCAAACAAATAAGCTATTTTCCATGAATTTAATTTAAGATTTTTAAAAATTGACTTCAATTTCAATATTTTATTTCAACAATTTTAGATAGATGTAATAAAGTATCAAATTAAATGCATCATTGTGTTTTAGTTTCAATACAGAGGGTAGAAAAGAGTAGGAGCCAGTGTTACGGACACTACAGATCTTTGTTACGGACACTACAGAATGAGTAATATCAAGGCGTGCAAGCCAAACTGTACCTCCTTTTCTGGATAACAGCGTTCTAAAATAAATGTTAACAATGTAAAAGCTGTCTTTGACATCAAATATGTACGTTTCATGAGAAAATACATTATTTTAATCATTTACTTGCCTACCTACAAAATTTATAAGTCACTACATTTTAGTTAATATCCACACACACATAAACATTTGCGCGCACACCAGTACGCGTATGACTAGTGTCTCCTGAGGACTATGGATAAATACCTTCTTTTGAGGACACCCCCTTTGAGGGGATTTACATATAAATAATTAAATATCTCATTGTCTACGTTTTTGCTCACAATTTCTCTCGATAAATTAAGCTTACTATTTAATGAAGAGAGAGAGAAAAAATAGACTGAGGTCACTTTTGACTTGTTTACCGACATTTGAATTTATATCTGAGGATTTTACGAATACTGGTTTAATAGCCACCACCAACAACGATCAAATATCTGACGAGTATAGAATAAACGTATCAGAAATAATTATTGATTACACCATGATTTTTGCATATAGATTAATTATCACTTCTTTTTTAATATGTTTTTTTATGATGTTTTTTTGCATACACTGTCTAAGGTGAAACAAGTATACCACTAAGTTGGTTGAAAAAATACTCTTCATAAAGTACAGACTGTGGTCTTTTTATGACCCCAAATTTTCCAACGCTATTTTAACGAGTTCCTAAAATTGGGTTCTAAAAATACTGAATATATCCTGCAGCACATACGATACAAGGACAACGCATGCAGTGCAATCTTCTCCGAACGCACATTGAATAATGCACCACATAATATACAAGGACATAATGAGGTACATTCTAATTTCGTATTTTCAAATATCTAGGGTATCCATGCTTATGTCTAATATCACATTGATTATGCTACATGATGTACTGTATTATCCTCTTTTTAATTGTATTATTCTTCCTTTTCCTTATATCTAATTCTTATCCTTTTCTGTATTCTTTTTTTTTTCTTAGGTTGTCATCCTTTTTATTCTCTTCTTCCTTTTTTCCTGGTGCTTTTTTAAATGTATACAGATGGGACTAAAGTTTGGAATTTGTCTCATTTACCAATGTTTGGTTGGCTTTTAAAAAAGTTTCAGGTTTTGACAAAATGGCATTAGATTTGGCCTTGTGTTATCTATGATGTGTATACCGAATCTAATTTATGGACTGAAGTGAGTGTGAATTTTTTTATTTTTCACAAATGGCCAATAAATTCCCCACAGAAGTGCAAAATATTTGTGTGTTAAGATAAATAATGCTTGGAAATTCCATTTTAGTAGCTCTGTGTAGTGTCTGTATTAATTCCTATAGCACCCCCTGTTGTGTTGCTGTTCATAAAATGATAACCAAAATAGTTTCCTCCAGGATATTGCAGGGTATTAACCCTAGGGTATGGATGAACAATTTGGGGTTGCTGAAACATCTCTATTGCATACTTCATTTTTGGATCCAAGTTCAAATGGTTTTGCACCCTGATTGTGGCTATACCGTTGCGAAGCCGACAATGGCCTCGGCTTAGTCGCAATTTCAAAGTTCAATTGAATTTTCGACATGATCCTTACATCGGGGCCCCGTTGCACAAAAATTACCATTGATGGTAACTACCATGGAGGCCTTGATTTTGATTGGCTGTTGTGTCATGTTACCATGGTAGTTGCAATTGATGGCAAATTTACTATCAATTGTAAGTTTTATGTAACGGGGCCCTGGTCAAAAAGCAAAAGGCACAATTCGTATAGCCAAAGCTATAACATACCAAAATCTGGGAGAAAATGGAGCAAAACTAAGCGAGATACTGCTCAAAGAAAGACGTCATGTAGATTCATGATGTGAACGAAATTCACCTTCCATAGGCATAACAGGCAAATCGAGAACATTCTGACATGTCACCTTTAATCGTAATTTGCACTATGACGACGTCATCAAAAAGATAAATGGTTGAAACTGATATTGTAGATAATTTGTTTAGCTACAACATAACAAAAATTGGGAAAAAAACGATCAATATTTACAAAGATACAATCAGTTTCCCAGGATAATGTTAATGTCATAATATGCAAATTCGTATATTCGTATATCCAAGGTCATTATGATGACGTCAAATATGAAAACAAGTTATAATGGCCTTTTTTATGGGCATGTTCAAATAATGACTGTGACACTATGATTTATTTTCTTATGAACTTTCTAAATCTGTCACGTGGGCCACCGGCCTAATGGGATGACCTCTGCTAAAGTGCTTTCTTCCGTAGATGCATGAAATTTCTTTGAAAGAGAAATTATCGATTCAATGAGAGATTCTAAGATGATCCCTTGTAATATTTCAACCATAATCTAAAACCTTTTAATCATAAGACACTTAATGATAAGTTGAGTTCTGGTCAGGCAATTGCATTGAGAAAGACGTGGAATCGATCAGGAAAAGTTGATCACGTAGCATATACGTAATGGTGTGTGATGCAAGGTTCTGGAGCTATCTTGGTAAAGTAAAAAGAACTGTACACAGAAAGATGTATATGGGACTACACAAACATCGGGCCTCGTTTTAAATTGTTACTTGTAAAAGTATGTTTCACCTCTTCCAGAACTCAACCTTCTCTTTAAACGCAATTACATAAAGTCTTGAGCAGATCGAACCTTAATCAGCTAGTCTCTGGTTGTGTCAAATAAGTCACAAGAAGTAGAGTACAGGGTCCATTGAGTTCAGATTATGCATGTTCAGAGCGTCTTTCTTGCATTCCGACAAGGTTTTAGTTGTGTTTTAACTACACGTTGCACACGCGGCGTCAAATCGGTGATGCAGGACTGCGTCAAAGAGAGGTTCGCACCTTTTGAGAGTGACTGCGCGCTGAAACTGAATTGCAAAACGAGCAGCACAAACAATAAGTAATAAGGAAATTATACCATTCTACAGTGACCATTCAGCAAACACATCAACGCATGCTTTATTGGATTCATATTATGTACGATTACACCTTCACAAGAAAAAAAATGAATTGTTTGATTGTTATGGGGGTGCTCACATGAGTCAACATATCTTGACTTTGGGATCAACGTTCAATTCGTTTTTATAATTTCACTCTGGAGAGATGATTTTGTTGGAAAAATTCAGTTAAAAAAGGACATAAAAAAGGAATCCTGCTGATTTGAAGAAGAGATTGAGATATAGTTAACCCCTTGGGAATACACTCTCACCATGTGAGGTCCATAAATTACAAGAACAAGTACTTCATATTTTGATCATGGACAAATATTCATTTAATATCTTCTCACAGAGCCAGACCTGACTTGTGACAATGTGTCGATGACGCTTATTATGGACAGAGCCCATCTCGAGATCGGCGACGACGCCCGCGATGTCCATTTCGAAGACGAGTCTTGTGTTGCATACGACCACGACAGTCAGCATGTTGCGATCACTACCACGTACGACAGATGTGGTACTACGCAAGAGGTATGCTCAATAGGTCTTTATGTACCATTGATACATCACAAAAATACTACTTGATGAAGATTTTAGTAACAAACTTTCATGAATCGCTGTTCCGTTCTTTCAGTGACAATGTTAATTATCTATATTTACAAGTGCTCGTAGATTTTTTTTCCCCATCAGTAATAGACGTACAGTTATAAATAGCGTCAGGGTTCTGCATACATGTCTAACATCTGTTTCACTATGAATATATATTGGCTAGATGAATAACACAGGGTGGTCATGATCATCGATTTGGGGGAAAATATATTTTCTAGATGCATCTTTTTGAGTCCAAGACCCAAGGTTAAAATATGAAAAAACATATTGAAGCTGTCTGTCAAGCCAAATGTATTTCTTTCCCTTTTTTTGAACACGATATTTTCGGCCCAAAGGACGTAAATTTCAGAGGCGGGAATACCCTGGAATAGAACACCGAAGTATAGATGGCAGTAGAGGCTAAAGATGAACAAAATGTTGTTCTTTGTCTTTATTCGTACTTTTTGTTATTATTCTGGTTTTCACCTTTCCGGCATTCCATAGTTGATATATTATTATAAACAGCTATTTATTCATTTCTCATAATCATAATTATTGTCAACATTGATATTATTACCATCATCGTCATCATCGGAAGACAACTAAAACTGTTCTAAAAAACGGCACACTGTTATCTTTTGGTCCCCATAACAATTTCTCTATTAACATTTTCGTTTAATATGCCCTCGTCCCCCCCCCCCCACCTCCTACCCATCAATACCTGCAGCAAGACGAAGACTACATAATATTTACCAACATGGTGACGTATTACAAGCCTCGCCCTGAAAATGGAACTGATGTCATTACCAGAGAACACTATCTTAATATCCCTGTTACTTGCTACCTGGAGAGGACGCAGGCCTTGGAAGAGTCCTTCTTGCCTCAAGCAAATCTTTATTTTTTTGAAGAGGTGAGGATTCAATTACTTTGTAGCTTAATGTAAAGCGGGTTCGGGTAGGAGCAACGTGGTATGTTGGTGGAGATGTCGTGGAATAGTAGTTTATTCACATGGCTATCAATCCAAGGGTTAAGGGTTCGAATCTCAGCTCGGCACTAACGTCGTTTGGCAAGAACAGTGTAATCATGTTCGAGGGCCAGGAGCACGACGGGGTGAGGACATTTGCGCGAAATAAAATAACCGAAGTGTGACGTTATACTGGCTATGTTGTAAAGGGTGCTGGGTCCAAACAATTTTTTGGCTAAACAAGGGTGTGGTGATCACACCAGCCTCAAACACTGAATTCGCCCTAATCCAGCCCATTGCTTGAATGATTTTGAGGTGAACCCCATTTGCGGACTCTGTTTTTAGAACCAGTCGCCTGAACGACGGTCGGATATGGTATAGCACTTCGGTACTCTATCAGAAGACACCATTATTTGTTTATTATTTTTATTATTGTTATTATTATTATTATCACTATTATTACTGCTATTATTATCACCATTATTACTATTATCATCATAATTATTATTCTTATCATTATTTTTAAGGCTCTTGACTCTCGCATTGGAGGGCCCGTGTTCGACCCTTGCTGAGTGCATACATCCTTGAAACAAGGTGTAAAGGCCACCGTAGTTGGCCTGTAAATTGTTACCTGTAAATACTTAGGTAATAATAACTGTAGAGCCCGTAGAAAAAGCCAAAGCTACCATGGGCAAATGATACATTATTATTAATAATCAACATTGCATCACATGAAAATAATTGATGTAGATTTTCTGTCATATTGCAGAAAATGAAGAAAATGATATGTCTGGGCCAAACTCTTCTGGTACATTTTTGTGTCCCATATACCCATCTCTCTCCCTTAGACACCCGTATACGTTGGAACGTATCTCTTTCTCTCTCTCTCTCAAATGTGTACTCACTTCTAGGAAGGGTACGGCAAGTTCTCGCTAAACCTTGACCGGTATACAAACTCAGGCTTCTACCAACCTGCCAACGATTCCGGCGAAGTTACGCTCGGCGCACCGCTTTACTTCAGCGTCGGTCTGACGTCCGTCACGAACCTCACGCTTCTCATCGAGTCGTGCTGGGCAACGAGCTCGTCGAGCCCACGGGACGGCCACCGCTATGATATCATCGAGAATGGGTGGGAATTGTTCTCTACCTTTGCTTACTCATTGTTTATCGCGTTGACTCTTGCATTGCATCCACCAAGTAAGAGCAGTGTACGCCCTCTCATGAATGGGCAAACACTGTACCATTCCTAAGGGGTGGACTGACTATGGGGAGTGTGGGGAATTTCGCACTATTTATTCTGCCACGACGACCGGTCGATTGGTGGTCTGGTGGCCGGTTGATAAATGTATGTTAGAGGTTGAGTGGGCCGGTCGTATCGAAATTCTCAACCGAATTTCAGTCCTAGTCCGCCAGTGCATTAGCCTAAATAATAAATGCACGACGTACTTCATCATGACAGCCAATTTATTTCTAAAAATGTGTTTGTGTTTTGTAGATGTGCCGTGGACAGCACAGCAGTCATCTACAATTGGCTCTCTCCAACTTCCAAGGGATTCAGTATCGCTGCTTTCGCCTTCATTGGCGATTTCGACAAGGTGAGTGTCAAGTACAACAATGGCCCTTTGTACCCCTCGTATCCGTTACACCCGATGCGTCATTGTATTGACGTAGTACTGTGTCAGTGATTAATGTGGTCTCCGATGCGGCATGTGAAAGTACAAACGGTGATTCTAAAATGAAGGATGGGCTTAACTTAAGAATACCCCCCATACATAGGGCTTATTAACATAAACGTCAATGACTTACGGTTAGAGTTAAGGTTAGTTTTATGAATAGGATTAGGTTTAGTGCTACCTAAGACACTAAATTATTCAGATTTAGCTTCATTGATGAAGCGTTGTGTAACCTACGAACGTCGAGTGGGGTATTCTAAAGTTGCTCCGAATGGTGCAGACAGTGAGTTCAAACGGAAGCATGGGCTACTTGACTTAACCACAGATTCGGTTAACTAGCACATAAGCGCAACTAATAACGCAATCAAAATGACACATCATAGGCAACTGGGGCTTTATTCTAAGCTCTACTGACGTACGAATGCGTCAACAACTGGCACAGTCTATCACATGCCAATTGGGAAAGACACCACACAATTAACGAATTAAAAACTACAGTGCAAAAAATATTGACTTAAATTACCGTTGCATGTTAATATTCCTTCAGTTTCTTGATTAAAATCTCAAAATCAAGTACTAATTAGGTTGTATTGCTATGCGTTTATCTGTTTTATTAACTCTCAGGGTAATCATGGTTATGGTGACAAATTTTCTGTTTTATGGGCTTAGTGCTTGGTACCTATTAAGGAATAAAGCTTTTGGTTGAGTAAGCCTACTGCATTATATTCAGTAGACGTAGCACGAGTCTTAGAACCACCGCACACTATAATTAAGGTCCTCTTTAGCCTTTACATTCGAAATATGGGAAATTTTTATGATTCACGATAACAATTTACGATTAGCGTTATACCATCTTTTATGTCGTAAAGATGCTTTGCATTTATTTTTCACCTTCTAATTAGCTCTATCGTCTCTCAAAACAGGTTTACGTTCACTGCTCAATCCTGATCTGTGACAAAAACGACTCGAGCTCCCGCTGCGCTCAGGGGTGCCTAGCCCGATCTCGTCGAAGTCTGCAGCCGTCAGGCTCGGGATCCAAACCCCACACCATCACGAGCGGGCCGCTCTCCGATGCCTCACGCTCTCAAAGGGCTATGTTGCTTGATAGCTTTGAAGATGGTGAGTAGTTTCTGAAGAGTACGTAATGTCCTGTATGTTCATGGTGCAATAGATAAGGCGGCATCTGACAATACCGATTTATGCAAAGGAATTCATGTCACATGAAACAGCGAACATTACAAGACAATGCGAGCAGCTTACAGTGTAACTTACAGATGTAAAAGTCAAATGTTCTGCAGAACCGGGCCGCGTCTTATTTTTTCGTACCACGGCGAGCCCAGATTGAACTCGCGAGGTAAACCTGCGCATGCGCACTCTCAAAGGGAACCAGCGCATGCGCACGTGGAATCCGTTAGGGTGGTTAATAGGGTAATAGTAATTATACAAATCAATCTGTCGTCAACCCATCGCCAGCTCAATCGGTAAGGACAGCGTGTTACTAATAAAACTTTGGAGTTGCCGTGAGGGTTCAAATCTCAGTTTATTTAGTTGTTTTTTTGCCTTTATATATAGTGAGGCAAAGCAATAAATAATCAAAGTCGAATTGTTTGTGACCTCTTTGCAAGCTCTCGTAACTTGTTATGTATGAAAATGAGTTCATACTGGAATCTGGGCTCGCCGTGGTACGAACAAATAAAACGCGCCCGGGCCCGGCGTCTCCCAAAAATAAGACGCGCCCGGACCGCTGTGATTGGTATATTTAGCACAATTCCAATGATTTCATCGAGATATGTATCGTTTACCACATTCGTAATGTAGGCTAAACCAAATTAAATGCATACGTCACTGTGAAGTGTCTTGATGCTAGGTAGGACTAACATTATTGTTTGTCCTGGAATGCGAACTCCAAACAATATTTGTTGCTTGCCCTACCGAACAACACGTAATGTAATTTGCATTATAACTATTAAAGTACAATTATTCGTAACAGATGAAGGAAGTAATTCGTATCTAGGTGCCTCACAAAGACGTTTAAATGAATCATATGACATTGCGGAAATGCCTAATTGATTCAGAACGAGTACCTGATTTTTTAAAAGGGACCACGGGCACTATAATTCTGTAAAA